GGAGACGACAGGGAAGGGGAAAGGAGGGAAAGAGAGCGCGGGGAGTGAGTGGATAATGTGGGCTTGCGCGATGATCACACAACAGGATCTATTTAAGTCGGGGGAATGTACATACGCATCGATTTTACTATTTTGTTTTTCAAAAACTCGGGCTTTCCATTATAGAACTTTTTGAGGCCGTGCGCATCGATTATTCACTCTTTATGTTAATTTGAGAGTCAATCCCTCACTGTCATTCATTCTTCTTTTCTGTTCTTCTTTTTTTCTTTTTTCTTTTTGTAATTCATTTTTTTCCAGATATCGCATAGATGTTAAATAGATAATAGCGCGCCGAACGAGCATAGGACCTTTTTTTATCTTATTTTTTAGGCCCAGCCCTTGGGGGTTGTAGATGTCGGGGGAAGTGCTAACATCATCAAAAAAATAAAGGTGTCAAATCGCACCAAACATGCTGCGAGGCAAGTCTCACGACATGATTTAGTGGAAATCTGAAAATCAAAATGAAAGAAAAAAAGAAAGAAAAAGAACGAAAAGAGGAGAAAAGAAACATCCGAGTACTAACCAATGGCCCTAGCCGAGTTGGTACACCCATGAACTGTTGAAGTACAGACCCAAGGTCGAATCCACCTGCAGTCAAATCAACGAAAAACAAAAAAAAAACAATCCGACAACAGGAAAAGCACGTTAATCATTATGAAATGAAATACATGGAGAATGCCGTAACGCTCGCTCTGGGGAATGACCCTACGATTCCTGGCCTCTCATTTTTATGGTTTTATTTTTTTACTTTCTTTTTTTTTTTTTTTGGTTATAGTTCAAGATGAGCTAACAAAAAAAAAAAAAAGACCCGACGCACAGAAAAGAAAAGAAACGGGTCCCCATTCCGGCGCCGTTTGGGCGTTGGCCTGAAACGCGCGCGTCCCCTCCGCATTATGTGCAGGGCAATGCAGACCTGATGCGTGATCTGCATCTGGACACTACGAACGGCCACATGCAGAGTGTTTAAGCTCGTCTACATCAGTAAAACCTTCCCCTAACCCCCCCCCCTCCCTCCTCTACCCCCCTTGCCTCCTAGTTCCATTCCTCCTGCGCATGCACCAATTCGTTCAATAGCAAACAAGCCAATCAAAGATGCATTGCACCCGACACCATTATCCTTGGTCCGCAGAATAGAACAAAAGCTGCATTTGGGCCAACTTCCAGTCTAGATGCGGCGATAATGACCGGGCGTTCTATTCGGGTGAAGACGGAAGTACTTTGCAGTTTATTCCTCCCTCAGGAGGGTTGCAAGAAACAACAAGTCTATGGACCTCGCTCCACTACTTACGACATGCACCAAAGACAAAACAATATGGCGGTGCATCTGCCCATCTTCTAGCGGAAGATTCATTCTCATTTTGCACATTTGGTGAATAGTGGAGCGCGGTCCTATCACAGTTTCTTCAATATTTTTCTTTCCGTTCTAACTTGTAATTAACCATTTGTCTTACCAAGAACACTTACCACTCAGCAGCTCAGTCGACACTTCTCTCTTTTTCAGCCATCTTCGTTCTGTTCTCTTTCGCCCAACTCAGAACGAACACCTCCTTACGAATTCCATTCCCACTTCATCTCTCGGGTCTTCCGTCGCAGACAGATTCTGAAGTGCCCGTCGCCGCCGGCCAAGAATCGCTCAGCTTAATAAGCACTACCACACGCCGAGGCTACGAGGGACGAAAGACGGGAGGGGAGATGGTGGGGGAGAGAGAGAGAGAGAGAGAGAGAGAGAGAGAGAGAGA